GCAATTTTAAACAATGTGCATGAATGTACTTTAACTCCACCGTAATATGTTTCAAAAGGCCAATAATGACACCGTTGTTTCATTCTTCGCCATAATTACTACATGTAATTGAGGCAATGAAATGAACAAAATAATTCGTTAAGCTTAAATACTACAAAACTTGATTGAATATACCGTCAGTCTACTGGGACAGAGGAATTTCTCTATTTAATGTGCACTCTTACTCTTTATCTACAGGTGTAGTTGTAGTTTCCCCTCCTTTTCTTTATTGGGGTCAAAAAAAACAACTGCAGAATAAACTGGGCTATCTGATCAATTTGTCGACCTTACCATGTATTTACTCATTTAATCTTAAACCTACAATCACCTTCTGTCTACAGATATATTTTTTACTTCTTCTCAGTGTTTAATACAATGCACTTTACATATTAACCAAAAGAATGAAATGATTCTTTGCAATATAAAAGCGGTTCGGTTTAGCTGCTATCTTTTAAAACGTACAATATTCGCTGCAGAACTTGATGAGTCTGAACTTTTCTTTAAACATCTTCAATATTGTTCTCAGGATCACAACGTAAAAAATGAATTGCCGTCTGGGTCGGACATGTTTATATTAAGAAAATATCGTGGTTTAAGCTATTTTTAGTCTAAACGATAATGAAACAAGGCTTAATGAAACGAAAGTTTTAAGTATTTGTAAGTTCGAGGGCAAAGTGTTTGAGATAAATTAAAGTTTAAATCTTTAATTACTTTAGATAATTATAAACTATGTATATATGTCTATTTCTATACATCTATACATCATTTTTATTAGAATAACGTCAAGAAAAAAATGATTTTATTCTTGAGTATTTGATTCTGAGTCATATAACATATCCCTATCCGGACTCGAGAAGAGGTAGCAGAATACAGATATATTTTTATATGTCTACACGTGTCTATTATGCGTATTAACACATATTAACGCGAATAGATATAAGCATGTGTACATACATACGTACAAACAATATACACGTACATTTTAGAAATTGATTTTAATATTATCGACAATTTGATATAGGCCTTAGATCAAACGTACAAAATAGCAAAATTCTATGACATTTCTGAGGGAATAACTTAGCTATAGCAGTGTGATTAAAGATGTACCAATATACATTAGCATTTATTTTGAAGATTCATCATCAGAAAACAGATGACTATTTTTGCTGTTATTTTGTAGTTTATGCATGAATTACCCTTATTGAAAAAGTGACCATCGCCGCCCATGAACGTCTGCAATTCAGGAGTCACAAACGAATACGCTCTTTTCTTGAAGGTTTGAAGGTCGTATCGGTCCGGAAATACCGCAGATGATAACCCGTTCCACAGATTGGTTGTGCGGGCCAAAAAGTGTCTCGAAAAGTACACAGTAGTGGAGCGCCAACTATCCAGGTGATGAGGATGAAAATTTTGGGGTGTGGAACGATGGCGGAAAGTTGCGGCTGGTTAGTCCGAACAATATAGAGTATAGTCCACTTTGATTATCTGTAAGTAATCGCTGACTGTGAAAAGTGTATTTATCTACATTTCTACTGAATCATTTTATATGATATCAGAAGAATAACAAAAATACTTTTTTTTTTTTAATTGCATTATATTATATATATTATATCTCTCATCAGTCATTGTCTCCCATGATGAATGTAGGACAAATAACAAAAACCTCTAAAACACCTGTCTCAGGTGCTCCGCATTTAAATTCCTGTCTGATGAACTTCAAAGTAAATTACTTAACATTAATAAAGTAAGAGAAAATGTTTGATACTTTCAGTTTATTTACGCGAACAAATTATATTAGTAAGTTTTTGGGGTTAATTATCAAGTCGTACCATTTGAGTTTTGGTTCTGGGGAAACGTAGCGAAAGTTTGATGGATTCAGCACTTTGGAAGTTTTCATTATATCCCTTTAAATATATATCAACATCATTAGCTGTAATTTAATATTTGTTATCATAACACGAGGATACGATGAGCAAGGTTTATAAATCTTCAGCTGTCAGTTGAAAACGCAAATGTTTAAATCCACATTATCGTTAGTAAGAAATAACATACATTTGGTTAAAATAACAAAGATAAGCTTGTCATCCCCAAACATAGGATCTATAAATACTCAGACGCAGATCACTGTTTAAATCAGATATTTAAATCACTGCCTAGTAATGTATATGAGTTGTAAAGGATTGACTGTAGAGCTAAACTAGTATACGAGTATGTACACAACTGATGGTTCGTGTCCTAAAATGGCAAAAACGTGACCGTTATATTTAGTTTTGTCATGTCCGTCCATCTGCATACACTATATCTCACAAACTATTAGCGCTAGAAACCTGTAATTTCACATGAACATAGATACAAATGACGCCGATAAAGTAGTAAAATATAATTTCGAATTTCTTTTTTTGGGTCCCTTTAGTATCGGTCGCCGAAACCGTTAATGTAAAATGTTTATAATATGAAATAAATAAATAACGATGTAATTTAAAAAAAATATTTCTCGTTCTTGTTTAGTCAAATAAATAGTTTAAAAAAACGCATGGAGGTCCTAACAAGGGTCCATTTCTTAACTGAACTTTGCTTGGTTTGATTCCGGTCTATACTTTCTAAGATCTATACTCGAATTCCCAAAACCCTACTAAAAAAAAAACATATGCGTGGCTTGTTTCTTTTTAAACTTACTGATAGGTAAATTAAAAATAAATCCTAATTAGGATAAATTTTCGAAACATCTTTAACAGTCGCAATTCCAAGACCGATTTTCAGTGAAATTTTATTGCCGAAATTAAAACAATATAGAAATCACGCATGCCATTAAAATTAATTATTTAACTTCAAGTATACCGTTGAACAAATAACCATTTTAATGGAGCCAGTTTATTTTTAAAAGTACTCAACATTAAGCTACCTACAGAAGAAGCAAAGCAAATTAGATTTTAATCTATTTTATTGTTGTAGTTGGACTATGCACTAAGTTATAATTGACCCAGCAAATTAATGTCCCTCGGAGCAATAAGAGCAATAAACCACAACACAATTTTACCTGTTCTACGTTACTGCGTAACTTAGAACCTCACTGGTCCAACTTGGGACCTAATTGGGTTTAAATATCATATTTACTCCATTAGAACTCAAAATGTTAAGTATTTTACGAAGTATTTAACGACCGAATGGCGTAGTGGTTTGTGGAACGGACTGCCATTCCAAAGGTTCGATCCCGCTCAAGTCAAACATTTGTGTACATGAACATTTAATGTTTGATTTGGTCTGGGTGTTTCTATGTATAATAACTGTTTTTACAAAAAAAAAGTATATATGTATTTATATCAGTTGTCTAGTACTCATAGTACAAGCTCTGCTTAGTTTGAGACTAGATGGCGTTGTGTGAATGTGGTACAATATTATTTTATTATTTACATTTTGAATTTGGCAGGTTGAGGTGAAAGTAAAGGTGGACTGTACGGATGGTGTACCTACTGGTTTAAGCGGTCGTCACGCCGGCCTCTTACTACTACGTTGAGTGTTGTGGGTCCGATCCTCACATGGGACGACACTTTGTGTGATCCACATATTGTTTTTCTGAGTCTGGGTGTTCTTTGTGTCCGTTTCATGTGTGTTTTTAAAGTCCCCCGCGACACAGGATATGTTCCTAATGCGAGAGTTGTCTTACTAAAGGAAAGAAATGTAGTACTGATTAATAGCGTGTGTGTAGACCACAGGGCTATAATGCATAAAACACACTAAGAAGAAAAGTGAATGTTCAAACTATATAACTTTCAGTAACGACCTTTTTGCCAAAGCATTTGCGTCCACCGAAGTGCTCAATATAACACTTACATTGTTTGTATAATGCATAGAAGAATTTTGTAACAAGTTTGGTATATCCTCTCGATAGATGGCGTTGTATCGTTAGTTTCGAGACTGAATCACAGTATCGCGTCCTTGTAATATTTAACTTTTTATTTGAATAAATTATTTTAATCTACGAGAATTGGTGTTATTGTACATTGTTTATTTGTAATATGTGTTCGTTTATTTATACAAGAGATTACCTGGTTTTTATTGGAAACACCACATACTACTGGCTGCTGAGTTCCCGAAGTGCTGGAGACCCGAAAGGGATTTTCCACCCCGTCACCAAAAAAGGACCGTCTATACCCATATCAAATGTATCATACAATATTGAATCTGTTAACAATAGTGGTTTAGAAGTATTAAAGGTCACAGAATGTAACAGAAATCCATAAATGGGTCGTGACCAAAACGTTATTTTCTAAAGAGATAGTTGAAACGATTGCAGGGTTGAACAGTAGCGAAGTTTGTGAGGGTCAGCGGCTGTACAACAACATAAATAGGTCGCGGCTAGAACGGAGACAGACGTCGCGACACGACTGGCGCCAGAATCCGTGGGCTAGTCAGAGAATAGTAAATGTATGCGTCATAGTCCAGACATGACAATAGGTACGAAAGTCGCAAATCAGCTGCCCTGAGATATGATGTATATAAAATTGTACCTTTTGGTTGTACAAAGATATCACTCGCTAGAAGTTGAGAGAACGCACAATTAGCTCACAGCATGCAGTTTTTAGGCACACTTAGATTCGTAAATTGGACGTGATTGGAGACTTACAAGACATTAAAACAATCTATATTAATTGTGGGCGATGTATTTTCGGCAAGAGTAAATAAAAAACATAATATGCACTTCTAAATTTTATTCTCAAATTCTCAAATAAAAATCTAATGTGGCATGCAAAAGCGATTATAACCTTTGAACCAGCATTATTTGTAATCTCAAAAAATTCCTTTATCTAGTACAGAACTGAATCTTTCACCCAGTCATTTACAAAAGTACTAAATACTATTCGAGTAAATTATGTTATTTTATATGCTTATATACCCGTATTTAGAACAGTAACAAAGGCATTAATCTTAATAACAATATTACTTAATCTTTGCCATTTCCAATGCAGACACTTCATCCCCTGATTTCAGAAATATCCCATTGGTTGCTACAGTTTCTCTGCACGCACAGACCAATCAGCTCGCACCCAACAATTGTTCAACCAATCATGGTAATGAAAAGTTTTTTGTACACCCAAAGATGCGATGGTAAGTTTAAAAGGAATGGAAAATCCGTGGTTCCTGTTTTGTGAACATAAATAGTTTATTTTTGATTTATAAACATGCAGAACTGATTATGTGTTAAGTGTTAAGTGCAGTGAATAGTTATGATCATAATTTATGTAGATATTTTGCTGTTAATCATTTTGGTAAGTACTCAGTGACGTCATTTGAACAAAGCTGTTAGTTTGTAAAGTTAAAACACAATAGTGGGGTAAATATATACTTAATTAATTAATTAATTGTTCTCAGTTAGCGATAATATATTTTCGTTCAATAGTAAAAATATTTTTATGTGATTATGTGCATTATTTCCTGCCCTAGAGTCAGCATGGGATCAAGGCCATTGCCATAAACTGTCTAACATTTCGATCAGGCCCTGACCTGGTCGAAATTTCAGGCAATTTAGATCTATATAAGTATAGTATATAAAGGTATACCCGGTATGTGAATGCGTCAATTCCCGTGCATGTATATATTTTAACATCGAAAAACGCCAAAATTTCAAATTTAATAAAAATACTTTTTGTTTGATTGTGAAGTGAGATTCACTGTCATGCTTATACCTACTTACTCTTAATCTCTATATAATGTGGTCCTGCCCCTCAGAATCAGGTGGGGGGGGGGGGGATCCTATAACATTCTTGGACTCGGTACAAAACAACTAAATAATACTAGTTTAACACTAGTTTCCTGTGAGGCCTTGGTATGTGTGATACACACACAATACTGTGTTAATTTTTGTTTCAGTTATTTTTGGTCCTGTTCATGTGCGTATACTCCATCTATCGAGTCAACAGGCTACGACAAAATGGAGAGGTACTCAAACAACAATTAACATTGAGCACGACGAACATGTTCGTGTAGTGACGGATTAGTTATACGGAGTGTCACCTATTCATCAAGTGGGTGTCTTAAGAGCCGACTGAGGGAGCAAACTACGCAGGACAACAGCACTGCAAAGAGAAGGAAAACTTGAAATAAAGCCTATACCAACCCGGTCAGTAGGGTATAGTAGGCCAAAACCTCTCTTCAAGAAGAGGCCTATGCCCAGCAGTGGACTAGAGCCTGTTGATGATGATGATGATGAAGACTTAGATTTCTATGGATTCTCACTGCTACTGCCCTCTGGAGGATATATAAGTATTCAATTCGGTGATACTTTTTTAGAACTTAATTATTGATGTAACTACAACTTTCAAATTGCACTTATAAATATAATTTTTTTAAGTGTCATTTTTATCATAGTGTCAGTGTAGTACCATTTTTATACACTAAGGTATAACAAGAAACAAACTTTATGTAAACAATACAAATATTTGTTATCCAATTTGAAATTAATTTGAATGTTAATTATTCAAATTCACCGTCGGTATCGTGGTAACTAATTACGGAAGTTATATTGCAAACCTGAATTTGTAACTTAGCGTTTTGTATTTGGTTTTAGATCGCAATATTACTGAAGCCCACCAAAGTTGTGTTTTCACATAAAAAAGAAGGAGGATCTTCTGAAGAACTCAGGTAATTTTTAATATCAATTAGACCAACATGCCTACATTCGACTGTACGGGTGGTTTAAGCGATCGCCACGCTGCTCCTACTGCGCTGAGTGTTGTGGGTTCGATCCCTACATGGGACACCATTTTCTGTGATCCACAAATTGTTGTTCTGAGTCTGGGTGTTCTTGGTGTCCGTTTCATGTATGTTTGTAAAGTCCCCCGCGACACAGGATATATATTCCTAAAGCGGAGTTTGTTTTTTTTAAAGAATAAAAAACCTGCATTAATATGATAGGCCTGTCAGTCAATTGGTTAGTAATCCTGACTGCTGAGCCATATGTCGTGAGTTCGATTCCCACCCATGAAAAATAATTGTGTAATAAGCACCATTATTCGTTCTGTGTCTGGGTGTTATTTATCTACAATATGTAGGTATTTAGAAATATATAAGTATACATTTCTAAATACATAAATTTGAAGACATCCAATTGATCAATAAAACTTGCAATGGTTGATGTTGGGAAGTTGTATGTATACTAATCGGCAAGAGAATTCTTCATATCGCGATACAGGATTAGCAATTCTCATTCACGACTTACTCCGTAGTTCGGTGTGTCTTCGTTAGATGGCGCTGTAATATATTTCTGTTTCTTTGTACGAGTCGCTTTATACGTATATTTTAACTGTTCGTTGTCGTTGATACAAAGATAAGGAGTTTTTATATCGCATTTGAAATAATAACAACAACATGTTTGTTATAATGATTTCATTAAAACTTTTTGTAATATAATCCCTTTTTAAAACTTTGAATGAGAAAAATAATTTGAAATAATATTTGCCTTTGTTGTTATTACCATCCCGATTTTGATTTATATTCAATATAGAGAGTTTTAAATCTATATTAATTCATAAAATTTAGAGGCGGACATTACCTGAAAAGTTTATTTGTTTCATTGAATACGCCAATCTCAGGGGCTAAGAGTTTGATTGAAAAAAGTATTTTTTGTATTTAAAATCCCATTTCTTTATTACACTACCTATTTAATATCACGATACAGCCTTTAAGAGTTACACAGTGAATATGAAGACAAAGAAAACAACGGGAGTGGCTATTAACTAAATCTATTAACTAAATAATGACATGTATATTATAAATTTTTTAAGGTTGATAGTTGTATGGTATATTAAATTTGTAAATATTAATTTCTTTGTATGTTTAAACAATGGAACTGTCAGATTTGAATAATGCTTTTTGTGTTGCATAAAGTTATTGGCTATATAAAATTACAATTAAAATCGGAGCAGTAACAAAAAACAAACATGTCAAACTGCAGGGACGCCCAGACTAATATATTTTAGACTAATCAATAGGTTTCACAACTTAACCTCTAAAATATATTTACAGAACGGTGGTGGCATACCAGAATCCATTCACAGGAGACTACTGCGTTCACAAGAGCCGCCTCGGCGCAAATGGTTATGTGAACAACCTACAGCCTGACTCTCCCGACAGTGGAGTATCGGATGAGTATGAGCCTTTGAACCCAGAGACTATGTCTCCCCGGCCGAGCCTAGCACATGTAAAGCACGAAAAGATGCCAAATGGAGTGTTGGCTGTACCTGTACCTCAGGTACCTATATCTATAATCATTTATTATTTAAACTTTTTCGACCTAGATTTGCATATTTCAGGTTTAGGTATATTTACAAGAACGTTATACTGATAATTAAAAGTAAGAAAAGGAAATTTCTAAAGATAACTATGTTTTTTTCTCTTTACTTTAAAGTGATAAAGATTTAGGTAATTACAAATATATTTTTTAAGTCATTTGGGGCAAGCAGACGAGTCACCTCACGGAAAGTGATTACAATGAAACAAACCTTTTTTGTTTTTTTAATGTGTCGAAACCCCCTCGGGCTGTCAGCCTGGCGGGGTTTGCGGCGGAGCGGTGTTGGGGAATCGAACCGACTAAAACCACCCGATGTGCCACTTCGCGCCTAAGATAGGAGGGATCCGGGAACAGCTGATATAAAAACATCCGGACCCCTCCCAGCGCAAACTTGGATAAACTCTCGATTTAGACGACGCACACGCGGACGTCGCCTCCTCGCGGTGACCACTATGACGGATGAAGGAGAAAACTCAGGTCGGCATGAGGCGCTGGTGAGCGCTCCTACGCGCCCGGTTCGCAGATAGACTATTGAATGTCCAACGACACCGCCAACAGCATGTCGCCACGGCTCACCGTCCCTTCGGTCACGGCCCTCAGGCACAGCGTCGACCGTCTAACGTCCCGCTCAAAAACCGAATTGGCGTCCTACAGATCTGGGCCACCTCGCAGAGGTGCCGGACGATGCGGGCAGAGAGAACCCTCTCAAACAATTTACACAGCCCCTAGAGGACTAGCAACACGCTAAGCCTGTAAGCCGCGACCGAATCGCTAGGCCGTCCCGACTTCCTCAGTAGGACCAGATTCCTGCTCTTACAGCACTCTGGGAAACGTCCTGACGCGAAGCTAGCGTCAAACACCTCCCTGAGGCGGTCTGCCATGTTGTCGAGGGCTAGGGCCAGCACTTGGGTCAGTACCCCGTCTGGCGGAACATCATCCACATTCTCCCCGTCTGCCTTGGAGGCCATCGATGGGGGTGTTTGCTCCGCCCGTTGCGGGAATAGGCCCTTTACCACTTCCTGCAGGAAACTGGACTGGAGAGTCGCTGTAAGATTTTGTCGCACCGCGCGATAAGGGCGACCCCAGGGGTCACGATCGAGACTCTCCAGCATTTCCTTTCTTTTCACTTCTTTGGCGCGGCTAATGGCCAGCTTCAGAGTTTTCTGCGCCTTTTAGTACTCCTCACAAAGCCGATCTTCCTCACCGTCTTTGCGGTGACGCCGCCGACTGTGTAGGACCTCCGGGCATGAGAACAGGTCGCGCGGAGTTTTTCCAACTCCTGAGGCCACCAGTAGACCTCCTTCCTTGAAGGCCGACGACCTCAGATGCTGGGCATGGCCGAATCGCAGATCTGCGTGATCGCATCACGAAAACGACCAACCCCCATGTCGACCTCCTCAGTCGCAGCATGCGGAGACAGCCAAGAGTGAATGAATTTAAAATAAACCCTACACCAACCTGTCTGGCCAGCATGGTATAGTAGGCCAAAAGCTCTTTTCTAAAGGGAGGCCTATGTCCAGCAGTGGAGTGTTAAAAGCTGTTGATGATGATGATGTCTAACTGCCTGCTGTATGCAACTTGTCTGAAATAGATTACATTCTCAAGCCTTAAAAAGTAAACAGCTAAAATCTTTCACAATAGTAACAATAACAAATTACTTTATTGTACACCGGGTACCTAAAAAAAATAACATAACGCCAAATGAGATAGTCCAAGTGGCGGCCTTATCGCTCAGAGGCAATCTGTTACAGGCAACCATAGGATTTTACACATTACGCAGACAAGAAATAAAATTTGAAATAATGTGTAGCATTGTTTAACATCCTTGGGGAGTGCTATTTCGGCTACGATACCACCGCGTCAACGAAAACCACTGTTAAGCAATTCTTTATCCTGTGTATGTCTGAGGAGACCGCCATCCAAACCCTCCTTCCCCTTTCTTTTTTCCTTGCGGAAATCCCCTCGGATACCACCTATCGGTGGCATGTCGGACTCGAACCGACTAAAACCGCATGCCGTCTCGGGTACTAATAGCCGGGGAACCAGGTATACCCTAGAAAGGAAGTCCCTGGTGAACCCTCCCTCCCCCTGAATCTAGGAGGAGGTCAAAGTACAGCAGCCTCCTTTTCACTCTTGTGACGCAGATGTCCATGGGAAGCGCTGGTTACTTACCATGAAACTTACAGACACCTTTACAACAAAACTTAATTTACAAATTTACTGTTTTCCACAATTTTATACTAACTAGTACTATAAACGCGACACTGAGTTCGTTTGTAACACTTTCAAGCTTTTAGGTATTCAACCAATCATCATTAAAAGTTGCGCACACATTATCAAAGGTATTAAAAGCCACGAGGTACTATCGTCCCGAAAAAATTTTGTTTTGACATAATCGAGTAAAACTGTGAGCAATAGCCAATATCCAGATAAGCTCACAATACGCTATAAAGCATACTTTACTTGTAGTCTTCATATCTTCCAATAACCTTTATTACACTTCGTTAGGGAATGATAACATAAAATAATGATAATTTAATTCCGTCTTCTATCTCAAATAGTCTAGGTGAGGCAAAGGTTCATTTATCGAGTATTATTCTCAGACTATTAGATACTTAACAAGAAATAACATTCAGTAATATTAGGTAATACAATTGAATACTTTTATACCCTTTTAATAGTGACTAGTTTCGTTTGTATAACACTTTTACATAGCACTTTATAACACTTTTATATAGCGACTGCCTCGGCGGTGCAGTGGTAACGTATGCGGCTGCTGTTCTGAGGTCTCGGATTCGATTCCCGGGTCGGATCTAATATTTCTATGATCTGCAAATATTTGTTTCGGAGTTTGGGTGTTTTCTATGTATTATATGTATGTATTTCCAAAAAAAAAAGTATATAAGTATTCTGTCAGTCAATCTAGTTTTCATAGCACAAGGTCTGCTTAGTTTGAAACTAGATGGCGTTGTAAGGTGTCCGAAATATTAGGTATTATTATTATTACCTCATATATAGCCGTCTGATCCTAAACTTAGAACCCACTTCACCCACCACCTCCACGGAAGTTGAGAAAAAGAGTGTGAACAGAGTCTGTCCTATAAGAGTTTTTTTTTTAGTTTTTAAGGACTGAACTAATTTTAATAAAGTTACCACGCGAAGATGTCCGGTGACCGGAATTTTACATTTGCAAGCAAAGTTTTCTCTTAAAGCCAACATTAATAAAGCTATTAAAGAAGAGTTAGTGTTAGCCGATAGTGCTGTTCTAAGTTGCGTCATTACGAAGACGGGTGCCAGACATTATCCTGACAACTTTTACAGACACTGTTATTGTAGTGTGCCCATGATTTACGAGACCTTCATGAAACAAGAATTTCTGGTTTGATTTTTTTACTATTTTTTTGTAATAAACTCGTAAGGAAAATGGATATAAATAGGCACAAAGGGTTTTCTAAAAAAAAAAACGAAGAAAGATGGTCAGAAATCCCAAATTAAGGAGTAAATTATAAATCATAAAATAAATAAAATTGTAAATTATAAAATTACTGCACGGATGGCGTTGTTGTTTAAGCGGTCGCCACGCCGCTTCCTACTACGCCGAGTGTGGGTTCAAACCCCAAATGGGACGACACTTTGTGTGATCCACAAATTATTGTTCTGAGTCTGGGTGTTCTTTGTGTCCGTTTCATTTATGTTTGTAAAGTCCCCCGCGACACAGGATTTAATCCTAATGCGGGCGTTGTCTTTTTAAAAAAAAAAAAAAAATATAAATTTAGTTATTTACTTTAAATTTATTTCTTTTTACACGGAGACCATTTGGTTTCTCAAAATTAACATGTAGCAAATCTTAACTCAACACAAAATAAACTTATAAGATTAAAACATCAATCAACATACTTCATAAAAATAATTCACAACTCGTTTTCCCCAACGGTTTTTGTTGCTTTAATCTCGTTAAAACAATTTTTTTATCCTTTTCTACGCCTGCATATGAACTGCTTCTCTGCTCTGCTTCTTCTTTTGATTGTACCTTTGATATCGTGTATGCTAAATTATTATGATGATAACCAAAACTGCTATCCTGCTATTTTGCTATTTATTGTACAATTAAAACATAACAATAATACAATTTGTATACATTGGTGTAAGTCTTATGGTCTAAAGTTATTTAATGACACAAAAAAAGTAAAATCTTACCGCGGTTTGCGATCTCTTCCATGCAACCACTGGATGGAGAAGGAAAATAAGAATGAGATGGTTGAGTTTACTGAGTATATTGTAATTAAGACTATATAAACTCATATAGTATACATATAGCAGTTTTGATGAGAAAGCGAAGGAAACAAGTAGAATAGGTCAAATGAGTTTAAAAAAAATCATTCTTAAAGCAATCTTATCTGTGTGGTGACAGATTAAGGATACAAAGTGTCACCACCCCTATTCATCCCGTGGGTGTCGTAAGAGCCGACTAAGGGAGTAAACGCAGGACAACAGCACTGAAGAGAGAAGGAAAACTTGACACAAACCCTAAACCAACCCGTCTGGCCAGCGTGGTATAGTAGGCCAAAACCTCCTTTATAAGGAGAGGCCTATGTTCAGCAGTAGATTAGTAAAGGCTGTTGATGTGATGTGAAGCAATCTTTGAATAGTGTTTATTTCATTACTTTGATATATAGAAATATCACAACATAGCACATAGAAAAACATGGTATTTTTTATGAAAAAGTTCATGGTCACCCTAATTACTTCGTTAATGCCGATCTCCTTAGCTAGTCTTCTTTTAGCCAATTTGAAATTTGAACTAACAACGCCATTGCCTATTAAGAAATGTATTTTACATAAAGGGTTATTTTAAATTGGCTCTCAGGTTGATTGACTTGAATTTCGAACCACTTACCTACTGCCATTAGCTAGGAAGCTCCAATTGAAATTATTTTAAAGATCACTAATATTGTAGAAGCATAATGCAAAAGCAATATTTCTATAGCTAATGGTATTTTAAAAGGCATTCTTATAAAAGGTGAGATTTTTACGGTGTAGGTGGCAAACGAGCAGACGGGTCACCTCATGCTAAATGATTACCGCCGCATGGACACCTTCAATTTAACAACTATAAATGCGTAGCTGGCCTTTAGGGTGGGTGAACTGTGATTTATCATTTGATTTTTGCATACTTAAGGTTTTCATGGGCCCCGTCGTGGTCCACCCGCCGGCGCCTCAATCGAGGTCGGCTCGGTCCTCGTACCGCTCCGGGCCCAGATGAGGTACCTGGGTCTGGTCCTAGACGGTAGGTGGCTCTTCGACGAGCACTTCCGACAGCTTGGTCCGAAGCTGGTGGACACTGCCTCCGCCCTAAGGCGACTTTTGCCCAATTTGGGCGGTGCCAGTGTTCCCACGAGGCGGCTGTACGCGGGGGTTGTCCGGTCCATGGCGCTTTATGGTGCACCGGTGTGGGTGGCGGCTCAGACCGCCCCGAATAGGGCGCGCCTCTGGCGCCCCCAGAGGATATTGGCGGTCAGAGCCATACGCGGATACCGCACGGTGTCCACCGAGGCGGCTTGCGCCTTGGCCGGAACACCCCCGTGGGATTTGGAGGCGGAAGTGCTCGCCGAAGTTTATCGGCGAGTGGCGGATTTCGCCCTTCGCCCGAAGACGTGCGCGAGTGGCGCGAAGCCGCTCGCCGAGCCACCATGGTCAGATGGTCGTTCCGGCTGGAGACTCCACGCGCTGGCTTCGCCGCCGTGGAGGCTCTCCAGCCGGTCATCGCCGAGTGGGCGGGGCCGCAGCACGGGACCCTTTCCTTCTGGCCGACGCAGGTGCTTTCCGTGCACGGTTGCTTCGGAAAGTATCTGTACTCAGTCGCTAGGAGGGAATCGAGTCCCGCCTGCCACCACTGCGACTGCAGTGAGGATTCGGCCCAGCACACGCTGGCGGTTTGCCCCGCATGGGCGACGCAGCGCCGGGCCCTCACTGCAGTCATCGGAGCAGATCTCTCGCTACCAGCTGTAATTCGCTCCATGGCCGGTAGCGACAGTTGTTTTACCGCGGTCGCAACCTTCTGCGAGGAGGTAATCTCGCAGAAGGAGGCGGCGGAGAAGGCCCGGGAGGACGACCTCCACTCGGACCTGATCCGCCGCGCGCGAACCGGGCGGCGGAGGCGCGCTCACCTGCGCCTCATGCCGCCCTGAGTGTGGCCACGGGTGGACGGGATGGGCGTCCGCGTGTGCCGGACGTCGCGTAAAAAGAGAGGTCTCGGAGACGGAGCCCGCACCAGGAGGGGGCCGGCGCTGGGAGGGGTCCAGAAGGCGATAACTACCTGGACCCCTCCTAAACTGGAAGCGCAAAGAGGGCACACCGTGTGGTTTTAGTCGGTTCGAGTCCGACACACCGCCCCGCCGAACCCCGAACGAGAGCCCCGGCGGGGTGACGGTCCGAGGGGATTTCCACACGTCAAAAAAAAAAAAGGAAAAGGGTTGCTAGGTAGGTTAGAGGCTATTTCACAGTAAATCTAGATTTTTTAAAATTATTACGATGGAATGGTAGCCATATGTAATAAAATAATTACTAGATTGACGGATAAATAGGTGAAATAGGATATTTATGCATCGTATGAAAACAGCTTATTGGCAACTACGCGTGAGTAACGTACGAAAAAATCGAATGATAAATCACCGGTCTTTCACAGTTCACTGTGATTTTGTCCCTTGCCTAGTTGGAGTATGCTCTCATCTTGTAGATTGTATCTGATCGGAAGTACTACAGGTAACAACTTCTGGAATAAATGGGAATCCACGTGTCAACCATAGTAAAACACTAGAATACAGTACCTACGAGTAAATGTTTATTGCGTGTATACAAAGTGTAAGGGACATCGTACGGAATACTGAAATAGTGTATTCAGACCATGGTTCTGAGTCGAAAATCTATTTTCAGCCGGAAAATTCTTTTTTTTTTCAATTTTTCTTTTTAAAAATGATGAGAAATGATATTACAATGAATAGACAGGACATTTTACAGAAAGAATTTAATAAATACCAAAAAAACTGCAATGTAATTAATCAAACAGCCGAAGCGCGCGGGGCCTACCCTCCGGCCGCCATTTTGTATTAGTGTCCGTAGTTTGTTTGCACGGAATACACGCGCAGTTATTACTTTTGTGTAAGTTTAATTTTCCGGCAGAAAATTCCCATGATTTTCGACTCAGAATGATAGTCTGAATACACTATTTCAGTATCCATTACGACGTCCCTTACACCCTGTATAAATGTTAGTTTACAATTATTATCGACCTTTTATGAAATCGGTTGAGACGAAAATGTAGTAAAATACATACTGTCTGATTACTGGAACAATAATCATTTTAGTGAATTAGAAATATTTTGTTAATGGGTGATATTGAGTAAACGACTACCGAAATATATTCTTACATCTAGTAATTTGAAAGAAAGGTCAACAGAGAAATCTTTAATAATAGTGAGAGGATCTCTACAATGCAGATAAATATAATTTCATTCTTAACAAATAAGGAGTAAAATAAGTCTATAGGGAAAAGAATAAACTAGATATACTTGTGAGTGTTTACAAAGCAGATAGTTAATTAATCTACTAGATAATAAAGTTTTGTTTTTGGTAATACATTTTCAGGTTATAATAAATACTTGTAATTAATAATTTTACTGTTTCTAAAGTACTAAAGGATTGTCTGAAATTAATTTTGTTTAATTACAAATAATCACTTGATCTGGTTACAGCCTGAACCGGAGGTGAAAATCCCTATAAGCTCAGATTATGAAGACAACAGCCTCAACAAGACCTGGAACTGGAACTACAAGGAGTATCAAATTTAAAAGGTCACATCTTCTATGAATTGTTATTGAAAAATTTATATTATTTTTAAAAGAAAAAGTCATAATTTTAAACAAATAGTAAGTAACATTCAGCTATTTTATGATAAGCAGAGAGCAAAATGAATAACTATGTAGAAATGTAATATCCAATACTTATTTTAAAACTTAAATCTGTCAAAAAATTTGAAAATAAATGTAATATAAAAACCAAATATTATATCTGCCTTCACGACAGGTTTTACACAAAATTGAAACCAATTGATACAACTTTGTTTTAAGGGTCTTTTTTCATAATACCCCTTAACTAAAGTATCATTTACTAAATCCTTGTGTAATACTTTAATATAATAGTGGCTTTTAGCAAATGTAAGTTTCACACTACCGCTGCTTTGCAGTACATTCAATAGGTTTACTCACTTCATGGAAATCATATTAAGTATCATATTTTTTGATAATGAATATAGACTTTTAAAACATCACGCAATGACCCTTATGGTGCATCTGCGAGGTTTGGCTAATTGATTAGAAAAATAAAACTTTTTAAGGCAACACTGACCCTGAATGTGTGACCTCAATAGATTCTTATAAAGAAACTATAAGTAGGTTATATGGGTCAGACTTTGCAGTATCTACTACTGTGAGTGAGTGAGTCTGTGTCTGATGCTTTACATGAGTTAAAAAAAAAACATAAAATATATTAAATATTAAAAAAAAAATTGAAGAACCGTGTGAATTTAGATAGTATAGTAAACCCGTAGAAATCTTATTTTGAGAGTGAAAAACTGAATTGCCTGTTCGAGCCTTCATATGACGAAGCCAAGGGTACAGGAATGAAACTAAGGGTATTTAACACCAAGAATGTGGACGGAATTCGAATTCGTTTTTATTCTGTATTTATTTGCATAAAAGTAAAAATGAAATTAAGATGAAAATGCGTTTTCTATTGTTTTTTAGAAATATGGAATAGGTACACTAGAGAAAACTATTTAAAAAAAAATAAGGGGAATCTTATCATTTTTCTCTCAAATCATTCATAAATCAACTGCGTAACGCTTAATATATAGCAGCCTGTATACTTGATATATAGGGTATACAGATAATACATGATAAAATGATTAATTTATAATCTGTATCGATAACTTGTGTCAAATGTATTTAATATATTTTGATATATCTGACCCATTCCCCCCACGTGTCGAGCTTTCGTATATTCACAGAATATATCCCAAACCTCAGAACTTGATTGCCAAATTATGCTCAAAATATATTATTGTAACTTTGTTAAAGTTAAGTAGGCATTGTTATAATTATAATGTTCTAATATTACGAGTAAATTTTACGAGTACTGTTAAATATATTGTTTAAAGCTTTTAACGTAAACATAATAGGATTATGTTGTGAAGTTTAAAATTGAATATAATATTTACGAAATTATAATTATAAGAGTTTTCTTTCGATCTTCCTTTAATCGGGGTTATTTTTACATTGTATAATTTGTATGTATGTTTGAAGTAGCAAAATATGTTGAGAAAACTTGACTGGAAAGGTTATCTTAACCCGTTTTAATAATACATTTATTATGTATATATATATATATGTATTTATTCATACATATTTAATACAATTCGTTTACATTATACAATTTCCTACAGTATCCGTGTAACATCTTTCCTAGAGTATCCGTGTCCCACGCAATACAATCACAGGTGACGGAACTGGTTTATATACCACTTCACCTTGTCCATGTGGTGACGGATTAGGAACACGGAGTGTCACCACACCTATTGATCCCGTGGGTGTCCTAAGAGCTGACTAAGGGAGCAAACTACGTAGAACAATAGCACTGCAAAGAGAAAGAAGACACAAACCCTTCCCAAAATTATAATTCATTTTTATTAATTACTCAAAAATTATTAATATTTAAGGATTTTTAAAGAAGAAATCCTTAAAGAAGAGGAAAATTCCAAGAAAAACTTACAAGAAAGACTCCCGGCACTCTATCACTATTATTTATAATTTTAATTCAACGCCGAAAATAAAAATAAAGTAAACAATAAATTAAAATAACTTTTTGTTGACTTTAAAAATCATTACAAACAAAATAATAAACTTTTATTTACTTTGATTTACGTTGATTACACACATAAATTATGTAAATCTAACTGGAACAGTAATATCGGAATTGTACTCATTATAAACAAGAATGTTAACTAAATAATCTGGCCTTTATTGTGTGTAAAAGGCTAAATGTTTATTTAAATTATTAAACAAAATTTGGGTTTTGGAAAAATGATCATATAAATAAACCTCACGTTGACCAAAAATTAGTGATTCTGGGTAGTTATGAAAAATTTAAGTTAAACTAGAATCAACGATCGTGAATTTCAGATTCGTATTCTAGTAGTTTAATTAAAAATGTAAAGGGCAAATGAACAGCCAGGTCACCTCATGGCAAGTGACTACCGACGACTATTGACAAACGCAGCTCAAGAAATACAAGTGCAATGTGCCACAGTTCGTAAGCCTCTCCCACCCTCTCCTCAACGATGGAATTGTCGAATTGTAGGGTTAAAAAAAAATTACACATAAATATAACATTATACTCATCCGATTGTAAGCCGTTACAGCCATCGATAGCCATATCTGATGACCTTATTCTTAAACTGCTGTTGTTACATCCCTTAGTATCGTGGAGGAACCCCTTTGACTTTCACTCTGGGGAAACACCGAAAATACCTGGAGAAATATTCCGTGCCCTAGAAAAAAACTTCTTACAAAAAGCAGTAAAAAAACCAGACTAGCTTTGACTTTGGCAAGTAAAATCTTTGACGTCCTAACTTATCGAAGCCTCCAATCACACTTATTTAATATTTCTAAACCATTAAAGTATCTTACCGTAACAGAGGTGATCAGAATTTAATAGATTTGTAACTGCTACTGTACCTTGCTACGACGCTACGTCGTAGTAGTTCGCTGTAGAGTATTCGGAACGATCCATCAGCGAAGAGATTGCGGCGGAAACATCGATCAGTGTCGCTGCTCACCGCGCGCCCTGGACTCAGATGTACGTATTTGTGGATATGGTATATTGGACATAATATTAATATAACAAATATTTAAGAAACAACGCTTATGTCATTTTTAATTGTGCAATTCAAATATCAGTGCTTAAATTTTATAATACTTCTAGCTTAACTTGAACTTTTCCAGAAAAATTACCAGTGAAAGAACTCATCTCCGTTCGATTTCAATAAGTTAAGAAAGTAAAATATAAACTTAAGCTTGACCTTGGGGTGTTTATTTGCCATCAAAACCTACACGTTGATAGTTCCATATTTATATTCAATGTTATCATTCATATCATAGGTCTCTCTAATTGCACGCCAATTATGTAGATCGATCCTCGGCTTCCTTCCAGCTCCTGCCTGCCAAATCGTTGCTCCACCTGACCTGTGGGCGTCCTACACTACGTCATCATGTACATATAACGTATTTATAGTATCCCACAGTATCGTGTTCTTAATTAAAATTGGCTTAGTATTAGATGTATAAAGAAGTTGTATACCATGTCTATATGAGCACAGTCACTTTCCTGATTGCGTGTATTCCTCCGCCCACCTCAAGTGGTGGTGTAATCGGGACCCAGACTAGCCTTTCCGACTTTTTATCGAACTTTTTGTCAGCTGCCGCAACATGTTCCATATTCACTCCATACTTGCTCGGAACATTTTAGAAAACTAATCTTTTAACAAAATTTGAAACATTTTAAAAATATTTTACGAAACAGTGTACAACAGATGTGTGAGTGTTGTGGGTCCGATCCCCACATAGGGCTACACATTGTGTGATCCACAAATTGTTGCTGAGTCTGGGTGTTCTTTGTGTCCGTTTCATGTATGTTTGTAAAGTCCCCAACTTCACAGGAATATATTCCTAAAGCGGGAGTTGTTTATAAAAAAAAATAATTAAAGGATGTGGTATTATCTATACATATAACATGTCTTGTTTTAACTGACTGATTAATCAACCCAGAACCTAAACCGCGGGGGTACAAATCTCATTTAGGCAAGCTAATGCTTTTTATGTTGTAACCCTCTAAGGGTATTAATAAGCGATAAACGGTTGAATGGAAGTTCCTCATTCTCAAAGTTAGAAACAGGAAATAAGAAAAAATTATGTCAGCGATGCCGCTGGAAACAGCTAGTCAAAAATATGGTTTCTCAGATCTGGGCTCGTGATTCAACTCCCTTCGACTTAGAAGGGGATTCTTTTTCAGAATAGTTTAGCTTCACAATTAAAGTAGTTCGTTCTAAATATAATTCGTTTATTTGTTGAAGTGTACTTTTTTTATCGAATTTTATCTGTCTGGGCACTTTTGACATCAAAACGAAAAAATAATACAAATTACTTATTATCGAATAGATCAAGATCATACTCGCGAAAGTGTCTCTTTCTCTCTCTTTCTCTCTATCTGTAAATTTAGCTCTGTAAAATATAAAAACTTGTGCAATTTAAATAACGTTATTGAAAATAAAAATGATAAGTTAATCAACGAAAAGATAAGGAAACGGAACGGTTGATACTGCGAGTCGGGTGAATAAATTTATTTCTTTCATATAACCCACCTTTTACTTTTGGTGTCTTTTTTGATACCATTGTTGTAATGTTATGTTTCCGTAGGCTCTGAACAAGATAAGAAAATATGTTTTTAATTCAAACATGAACATGAAAATGATGAAAAAAAAATTAGAACATTGTAATGAAACGTAAATAAACGTTATTGATATAATTTTAACATTAAACGAGTTGATTTTAAGTCTGATAATGGTCTTTCTACAGAACTTCGAATTCGCCTAGTAGCATCTTGGGTTGTGAAGGTCTGATAGCAGTTCAGCCGTATCGTACTGAACTTAAATCTGACCCCAAGGAAGGAAGGATTATTTACCTCCTTTGCGATGAATGTATCCATGGATGAGCCAGAGGCCAGCTCGACCGGAATG